AACACCTGCAGCTAAGACTCCCAATGGCGTTTTTCATAAATTTATAAACCACGTGAATGAAAACAACTCGATAAATGTACAAAAAGAGAAAAAAAAAATACTACCCGCAACAGATTGCTATCGAAATCTTCATCGCTATACCTGTGAGATTGTAACGGCTATGGGAACGTATATACAAAATGCGCGTTTGTGTGTGTGTGTGTAATAATATACGAATATGTTCAAAAGAATAATGCGACACACAACATTGCATGCGTTCGACCCGTGGTCGTAGACGGGGTAATAAAACCTTTGAGTGGTCAGCGGGTGGGGGTGGGAGAGGGAGGGACAAAAATGAGAAAAGAAAGGAATCTTTGTTTAGGTATGTTACATTTGCCCGGGCCCGGGAGACTTCTCTTAACGACAATAAAATACAATATATGCCGTACATCGCACGAAAACACGGGTGGGTTTTATTAGTATTTTGTCAAAAAACCTCGAACTCGAAACGGTTTAAAACCGTATGCCGAATTCGTTTCCCGACCCGGACAAAAGACATACATACAAATTCCAATAACGCCGAACGCGCGCTCACGCGCATTAACGGTACCGTACGCGTGTTATCGGTTATTTTATTATTATTGTTAATTTTTTTTTTCTTTTTAATTTCGATCTCTGTGTACCGGACACTCTTTCGGATAACCCTGCGCGCTCAATAACAATAATAATATTGTTCACGGCTATTAAGAGAAAAAGGCCTAAGCCGAACGTTTAAAATCCGTAATGGCAGCCGATCGCGATAGATTAAAATTATATATTTACCGTATAAATATATTTTTTATTTTTTTGTTCTTACGGCAATAAAACCTCGGCTGTCTATGGTCATTGGTCTGACAGTAACTCAAATATTATTACATTCGATACATATTATTATGATATGATTTAAACGTATCATAATATGAATAGTATTTGGGTCGGGACTAAGAATTGCATGTACTTAATATTGCGTAGGGCGAAGGAATAATAATTCCTCACGACCACTCTCCGTGATGACGGCGTTCAGTGAGGATGCGCTCGAAGTCTGGACTGTCATCGTTTAAACGGGTGTTGCATTTGGGTGGCTTCTATTTTGCCATTGGATATCGATCAGTATTTGAAGTATGGCCTATTCTAAAGTGATTTAAAAATATTTCCCGTTTTCTGGAACCCTCTAGTGGGGTGGCCAAAAGAGTACTGATATTTTTATTTTATTTAGTTCGGCGGTCTGTTTTGACCAATATTGTTACCATAATTTGATAGAACGGTATAATAATATTATAATATCGTGTTATATTATATTATATTATTTGTCCTGCATCCAGTGTTGCCGGTGACAATTTTTTTTATTATTTTTACTTTTATTCCTGTTTTGTTTTGCCCGTATCAGTATATTAAACGAAAAAAAAAAATAGGTGAAAAGAGGGTAGTGACTAAACGTGTTCTAGAATGTCATACTTTTTTTCATCCATGTTACCATAGATACTCACACAGTACAGGAATTCAACTATATATCCACTATAATAACTCTAAAATTATGAGGACATAATTATAGTATTGTAATACTGAACCTAAAAAAAAATACAATGATTCAAATATGACGTCTTATGTGTCTTCTTTTTTTACTTGCTCACTCAGTAAAGTGTATAGTTTTTTATTTTTTTTATCCACGTTACCTAGGTAACCCATCCTATTTTAAGTCAATAATAGGCAGTAAGACTCTTTATTTTAAGTTTTTATAGTTACTATAAGTTTTATTTCTATTTATTATTTTATTATTATTGCGCGATTTCTAACTAAATGAACATGAACGGTACATGAACGTGAAATATTTTATTCTACATAGTACTTAAAACAATAATGTTTGGACTTCCACGATTTGCAGGCAATAGACTGATCACAAAACAATTTTTTGAAATTTCAACTGTTCATAAATACGGAATATGGGAACGAAACGTTCTTGAAAATATGCGGATTTTTTGTCTGATGTTACCTACCGTATTTTTCCGATAGAATTAATTTTATTTTCTATAGTATTGGGGAAAAACTCTGAGAAAACCCGTTTTTATTTGCCTTGAATGCAAGGGCATCATTCAACATTTTAAAATTTGCGCAACAAATAGGCTGGCAAAAACAATTTTTACACCTACTATAACATACCTATTACAGCTTATGGCTATAATTACCCGGTGCAGACAAACTATAGTCACGCCAAAATGCAATCTCAATAAATTTTACTTATGCTTAAGCATACCCTGCAATAGGTACTTTAAATGACAAACTTGCTTGAACGACATTAACATTATAATGTTGTCACGCGGCGACCGACTCACCGTGAGCTCCTCCGGAATGGTTTTTTATTTACAATATTATTTAATCGTCGCTTTCATTACCAGTGTATACAAAGTAAATTGCCTTATAATTTCCGGCGTATTCTAAACCTCTCGGAAATACAAGACCGAATAGTAGAACGTTGAGAATGTTGTGATACAAATCGATTTCAGATCACCAAAATAACCGACACACAGGTGCATGAGTCATATTGTCTATAATGCTACGGGTAGGAATTAAAATCATATTATGCTCGTCTTCGTGTAGAACCTAACTTATATTATGTACATTAGAATAATTAACAAAATGTATTATATAGACCAGTGTTTTTCAAACTGGATGCCGCGAACATTCACTAAGTTTGCCGCGGCCATTTGAAATTAATTTTCCTTAAATTGTAACGGACCACCAGTTACGGCGAAAATGTTGTGAAAAGCGAAGTTTTCCATGGTAAATAAACACTGGTATAGACAGATGATTTGTTCATTGTAAATAAAATACTATACTTGGCCCGGCAATGCTTCACTATTACTAAAAAATAGTGTTAAATGTAATGGTTATAATAATAATAAAAGTAATAGTATAGTTTTTCTTGTCCGGGACAACCAAATCGTCATCCATGTCACCGAGGTAACATATGAATAAACAACAGTAAATAACTAAACCGGAGGAAAACATGGGAAAACTAGGAAAAACGTAAAAATAACGTAAAGGTATACTATTTAACAAATTTGATTGAAGAAAATATATAATACCTATTTAGTTATTTTACTATAATATGACATGTATATTGTTGACAAAGCATCAATATCAACTGAACTTCACTCCAAAACGTTTTTAATAAGAAATGGTTTATCGTTGCTTACAGATAAAAATTAATTTCCTCTTTATGTCCTATCTTTCAAACTTCTCACCAAGAACAGTGGCTGCGAAGTATGTTCGTATTTTTTATTTTGGCTTTTTCAAGGTTTAGGACAATGGTTCTCAACTTTTATTCTGTGCCCTCTTTGTAGATAATCTCACTCCTTCTTTGAACAACACGATAAACAAAAAAAAGTCCAACTCCCCACCTTTCACCTCTACTTAAATACGGTCTTGTTCGTAATCTTTATTGATATCAAATGACTGATTATTATTCATTTTTATTTTATTTTCTACATTGTAAAATAAAAATAATTTAATAAATACTAAATTTTATTTCGTGATGACTGCTAGCGTCTCACCAGAAATTTGTTTACGCTCCCCAGTTTTGAAAACATTGATTTAGAAAAATAAAATAATAAATGTGGGAAAGTCAATATCAAGTAGACTTGGTGACAAATTCAAATCTGTTTTCAGAATTCTTATCGCTTTACGAGACCGGTACGTTAGAAATAAAAAACGTCTAAATTCCTATGTTGCAAGTGTGTAGATAAAGACAGAAAATCATTAATTTCAATCTTCTTAGTAATAATTGTAATGTGAAATTAATCTGTAACACGACATTTCAAATGTCATCAGATAAACATGAATCAATCCATTCCCCTTGAACTTTAAACTATAAATTATAACAGTAAGCCAAATTCGACCAAAGGCTCCATAATATATGTCTTTTTTAGATTCTAATGTTTATATAACGTAGAAATTTTCTGAAAACACTATTGGTCATTTAAATAAGTAAAGAAATCAACCGTAGATTTATATATATAAATATATAAATATATAATAATAATAATAGTAATAATAATATATATATAAAATATATAATATAAATAAATATAAAATATAAATATAATACTGACATCCAAATAACTGATAAAAAATGTTGTTGTCTATGATCAACCCTATGGTCGCTAACACTGTTCGTGTTAGGTTAGGTTAGGTTAACACAAGTCGTAAGTATTACAGCCTTTCAAAACATGTGTAACCAAACTCCGCTCAGAATGTAACATAAAAGACTAACAATAATCAATTTTAAGCATAACACCGAAATACGATTTCATCTCTTCACGCGTTATTTCTTCGGTGCTCTATTTTAATTGTCACGGGCGTTTCTGTAATCGTTTTCTGCCAAAAAAGAAAAAAAAAACTTATAACTTATTTTAGATATTTTTTGAGAACCCCTGAACCTAAATCCATTATTATACGAATTACGTGTTTCACATAAATGAATAAATAACAGAAGAACAAACACAGAACTAGATAATAAACTAACATAGAAAATAAGCTGTGTATAGTCTCGTTATCATAATATCTCAAGAACATGTAACTAGTTGGCAAACAAGAAACAGAAAAAGAAAACTCAAACGCTATTCGCGTTTATCCTATCCATATTATTTATTTATTTTATAATGATTTACGAGGTTTACCCTTTACATTTAAGTAAATTAATTTAATTAAATACAAAATAAGTTAAAATTAGAGTTAAGATATTCCTCTGTTGTATTCGAATAATTCATAACCTGGATGTATACTTATCGTTCATAAACATTGTAAGTATCTACTATGAAATACCTATCTATGGGTTACAGCTATACAATACTAAATAAATTGAAAATTATTATATACAGAGTATCCTATAGTGTTACACGAATGTTATATATCATTATTTATTTTACTTTTTTAGACTCTTGTGTGTAGCGAAGAATGTAATGGTGGTTTTTTTTTTTTTTGGCTTAAAATAGACCCTTCAGGTCCTTCGCCGCAACCACTACTTCCCTCCATCTATCTCTATCTGTGGCTTGCTCTTCGCCGTTCAAAATTCCCAGCATACCCAAGTCTTTATGGACCCTATCTACCCATCTTTGTCTTGGGCGGCCGAGTTGTCTTTTGCTCTTCGGCTTCCAGTAGATGACTTGGCCAATTGTCTGCTCTCGGCCTCGCCATATATGCCCTGCCCAGCTTATCCTTTTGCATTTCATGGTAGCTATTATGTCCGAATCCTCTAATATGTTTATAACCTCTTCATTCTTCCTTTGCTCATAGTCTCCCGTGTTTTGGTTTCTTCTGGGGCCAAAAATTTGCTGTAACACCTTTCTTTCAAATCTTGCTAGGTTTTGCTCGTCTGTTTTGGTCGTGGTCCAGGTTTCACACGCATATAACGCTATCGGGCGTATGATTACTTTGTATAGTGTTAGTTTAGATTTGATTGAAACTAGTTTAGATTTTAATATTGTCTTTAATCCAAAGAAACACTTGTTAGCTGAGTTTATTCTGTTTTGAATTTCCTTGTGGTTATTGCCCGACACGCTCAGTTCCACCCCTAGATACTTGAAATTTCCGACCAGCTCAAACTCCATATTTCTTACTATCAAGTTATTATGTCTATTATTTTTCCGTGACAGTACCATGTACTTTGTTTTTTCTTCATTTATAGTTAAGCCCATTTTTTTGCTTTCATCCATGAGAGATTCTGCCATACTCTGAAGGTCGCTCTCAGATTCGGAGTGTAATACTATATCATCGGCGTATGCTATTAGTTTGATAGTCTTAGACTCTTGCAGTTTGACTCCTATACCGGTGTTTAATGCATTTCTAACCACCTCCTCCAAAGCGATGTTGAAGAACATTGGTGATAGTGCATCTCCCTGTTTCAGTCCTGTGTTGATCATGAATGCCTTCGACAGTTGGCCGTTAAATTTGACCATACATTTAGAGTTTTGAACACATGCTCTTATCATTCTTGTGATTTTTGCTGGTACTCCAAGCTTTTCCATGGCTTTCCATAAACTTTAGTTTAGAAGTCTAATCTCTATGTCGTTGATGTAGTTCTTTTCCCGTTGCCTTTTTTCGGTTCTTATTATCTTCTTAGTTTCTCGTTGTTTGATTGCTAAGGCTCTTCGGTTAGACTCGTTGGGGGTTTTTATCAGTGCCATTCTGGCAGCATCTCGTTCTTCAAGAGCTCTTCTACATTTGTCGTTAAACTACTTTTTAGGTTTTCTTCTCTCCTCAAAACCTAGTACGTCTTTCGCGGCTTGCTTGATTGTTTTTTCTAGTTTCTCCCACAACTGATCAAGCTCATTATTGCTGTCGTTTTTTAAGTTTCTATCTATTGTTTCAATTTAATTCTGAAGGTTTTTATTGTCTTTTAATTTTTCAACGTTGAACTTGGTGGTTTTATAAAGATGTTTTTTAAAATTTTTTTTTTTTCATGTGAACACTTTCTATCAGAAAGCTTACTCCGATAAATTTCAGCATTTTCCAGTCAATAAGTTTTCGATTTGTTGGATAATTTTGTAAAATTATCTAAGCACAATAAAAACTCTCATAAAACATTACATGAGACAACATTTTTAACTTTACCGACTTTAGAATTTTTTATTTTTCAAACGAATAAAGTTTTCAATAATATCTTCCTGAAAAATGAAAATTAAACAAGATACTTTTTGGTTATTCCATCAAAAGTTATAATATCATTCAAATATGGTATGCAACTAAAAAATGAAAAAAGTAAATAAATATAAAGCAAATTAGGTATCAATTACTATTTATTTTTTAAATCATCAAAATGTACAGTTTAAAACATAATTTTATCAATATCTGTTTATTATTTTAGATGATAATCCAGTATTAAAAATGATAGTATAGAAAATAATAATAATTTAAACATGAAAAAAAAATCGTTTATAAAATGTATTAAATTGAAATAAAAATAATACCAGTAGGTATATTGATCTGGTATATTGATTCATAGGTTTACAATTTAAAATATAAGATATGATTATGGTTATAATAAATAGTATGTAATTATGTAGATTACAAACTTAGAAAGAAATTTTAAAACTTAAAACTCTGTATTTATAGAAACAAATCCACTTTTAGATTTTTATTTTTCTTGAATTAACTTTCCTCTCAGCAGACTACAATTACTTTATCAAACCAAATCTCTCATAGCGTTTTACATAATATATATGAAAAGAATCCTAAATTTTACGTAAAATAATATTATAATTTAAATACTAAATTGGTTTTTTTTTCACAATATACCGGATATAGTAATATGTTAACTACTGTTTAGTCATATTATTAAAATAAAATATTCGTATACAGCTTTTCAATCCATCATAATCAAATCATTGTGTATAATCTTATCTAAAATGTTACGCAGTAAAATTTATGATTCCATTAATACCTAAGGTTATTATAAGTACTAATAGGAATTTTAATAGTAATAATGTTACTTAAAAATATTAAAAATTAATAATCAATTGCATTAAAAGTGATTTTTTTTTTTTTTTTTTTTTTAACAATTAATGTTCAAGCGGTCAAAAATCGCTAAATAAGTTCGTATTAGATCGGAGAACGAGTTAGATTATCAAGCGAATAAACAGACATTACTTCCGTTTTGAGCACATTGTAATTGGCTATAGTCAATGTTTTCACATTGATGTCACGCGGTACGTTGAGTATTTGATTCCTACGAGTGTCATTAATAGTGTATGAACGTTCTTGATCGTCTTGACTTCTATCCTGATCGGTTCCATTATCAGCTTGAGCGGGGGGGCGTACACCCGTAATGTCCGAGTCCTGTTGGCTTGTCGAACCAACATCGCGTTGGTCCATTGCGGAACTTTTGGGCTTTTTGCCAGGCAATTCCTTTACTTCATACGACTGTGGTTCATCCAGTTCTTCCGGCAACGTACGCTCGCCATGTTCCCGTTCCAATTCTGCGGATGCAGTCGAATTGAAGGTCTGGACGGCTTCGTACAAACAATTTAAGCTCGATTGAAGCGGTAATATTGCTCGCCTAATTATTTCCATATTTTCTCCTGAAATAGGTAAAAATTGAGGATTCGGTACCATAACGCAATTCACGGTGGGCCGCGAATGGCGCGATGAACCATCTGGACTATCTACACTGACATAATCGACTTTCATCTCTATTGTAATATTGATATGATCATGATTATTTTCAACGTCCGTGTCCGACGGGAGACGTACATTGTTCAGACCCGACGAGCGAGGTGTACTATTCGAGGCTGACGGACGACTTGTACTATCCATGATCGGCGGGTTATTTGCACTGTCTAGGGCCGACGGGGGATGCATACTATTCAACTCCGGCATACGGCGTATACTGTTCAGGGGCGGCGGACGGCGTGTACTGTTCGGGGCCGACGGGGGACGCATACTGTTCAAGGTCGGTGGACGACGTGTACTGTTTGAGGTCGACGAGCGACGCTTATGGTCGGACGAGGATATACCGCTATGCACATTGACCGGAAGAACCGAACTAATTGGAATCCTCTGATCTCCAACTCTAATATCGTTAAGAGAATTGATGTGTGTCATCAAGGGAACCGAACCGTTTGAGTCATTAACAAATATCGGGTCCGTCGATTCCGAGTAGAACTGTACCCCTTCAGATAAAGGAAGCTGGTCAGATATGTTAAACGGAGGCCTGGCTGCACGCGGAAGACTCGTATCCTCACCCGCCGTGTTTTGTGGCGGAAGCGAGGCATCCCCTGGGAGTGAATCTTCTCCCGGAATTCCCAACACCATTCTTACGTCAACCACTATCTGGCCATCCGTAATAGGTAGTTCAATAAACCGCGGACGCCTAGGAGGCGCGTTCTCCGGCGGTGTGGCCACTGCCGGGTCATTATCATCAACTGGCGTGGGTTCGTCGGGGCGTAATCGCGTAGACATACTTGCAGATTCTTGGTTATTCGTTTTATCGAATTGGTCAGTCTATAACTAAAAATACACAAGAAGATGAAAAAACACATTCAATATAATCAAAACAATAATGATTTCATAATATTGTACCAAAAGTCTCTAGACATTTTGTCACGAAAATTCGACCCCAAATTCAATGCACTTAAAATTCCACTAAAAAAATACCCTTTAGACGGACCGGATAAATAAAATATTTTTTAAAGGATAAACTAAAACATGTTTATTGTTATATTGCACAAATAAATAACCATGTCTTTCATATCACCATTTCGTATTAACAGTTTACAAAGTAGTTATTAAGAAATTGTTTAAACAAATAATACAAATGTGCACTGAAAAAAGGAAATTACTTAAAATACAGTAAAATGTTCTAACTAAATCGAAAATATTTAAAAAAAAAAACCATTACTAACAAAAAGCAATTCGGAATGAAGTTTGGTAGTATATGTTTTAAACTTTTAAAGGCTATATTTATATTAAATTTACGATTATCGTTAAAATTTAATATTAAAACTCTTATGAAAAAAAAAAAAAAATACATTACACTAATTTTTTTTTTTTTTCCATTAATACGTATTTATTGATTATTTTTAGTTCAGTAGTATCACCATCATACTATACCGGTATGAAAATAAAATTGGCAACAACACTTAAAATTTCGTACGAAATCGTGTAAGCAAAATTGAGGTAACGTATCGTACGCAATAGTGTACCTTAAAAATAAGGTATCCCCGATAACGAACGTACACAATCGTGTCTTAACTTTTCGAATAATTAGATTTTTCACAACATTTAAAGAGTATCCTGTATTCCTGTAGCAATGCCAACTTTTTTTTTTTTAATAAATACCTATATTAAAATTTCTATAAAATAGACGGCGTATTATTTTAAATAAATTTTGATGCACAAATGATTGATTTCCATCATCCCGTAAACGATATATTCTACTTTTGAGTTTAGGTAAGTGGAGAGTAATGGAGTAGCATTTGTGTGGCAGCATGGTGTGTGAAGTTTTATAATTCCTTAACTACTTAAAAGTTTTAGTTAATTTTTAGGTAACGAAGTATTACACTACCGATATGCGTTTTTTTCCCTGTCTAAACGACGTTTTTACGAGAAAACTCGCTCCGATAAGAAAATAACAAGAAAGCTATTTTATTTATTTCATGTCTATATATTGATTAAGTAAGACATTTTTTGATTTTCCAAACATGATTCATAATAATTTGGAAAAAACGAGAAAAAAACGTATACGAAAAACGAACAAATATCTGCGGGACAAATATTTACGGCTTATCACGCGCCGCGATTTTACCAATTTTATAATTTTAAATTCTAAGGAATTTATTCGTTTTATTATGATGTTCTAGATCATGAGTGGAACGAAAAAGCTTATGGTTTTACAAAGATGTTAATTTTTTTTTCTGTGCGCAATTTTTTTACTAGAAGACTTGCTCAGATTTGTAGATGTAATACCTTTTCTGAAAGAAAATCGATGTGGGAAGGTCATTTTTTGATTTTTTCAGGAGTTTTCTCATCAAATTTGAAAAAACCCCCCCAAAAAACGGGAAAATATTGGAAATGGAGGTATTAGTTAAAATATATTACGATTTTTTTTCTTTAGACAATTTTTCTACTAGCAATTTTGCTCTAATTTATAAAGGCAGCAATGTTTCTAAAAGGAAATCCGACTGGGGAGATACTTTAAGGAGGTCATTTATCGATTTTCTCAAGATTTTCCCAGACAAATGTAAAAAACCGGGATAAAACATGGAAAAATCCGGAAAAACGTAGGGAAACTAAGAAAATCGGTACAACATTAAACAAATATTATTAAAGAAAATAAAAAAAGGCTATTTAACTATTTTACTGTTATATGACGTATATGTTGTTGTCAAAGCATCACTAAAACTAAATTACGCTCAGAATCGTTTTTTTCGTAAGCAATGGTTTATCGTTGCTCACAGGTAAACATTAATTTACCTATAACAGTGGCTGCACCCGTCCTTTTTAAAATTTTTGTTACACTTTTGAAATAATGTGTGTACATATTAGGAAGCTTATGTTTTATTTTTATCAGGTTTTCAACATAATTGGGAAAAACGTTTAAATTTAACGAATAAATATTTGCACCGTGTTTCCTTGTAACTAAATACAGTAAATTTAATTTGTACGTATTATATTTTCTAACAAAACGCGTACTCCAATATAAATGCCAAGAAACCTTTTTTTTTTTCATTTTTAATAAAGTTGGTGAGTAAGTATGTGGTTTTTTTGATATGCCGAGTAGTTTTTATAATAATTGACCAAGAACCGGAAAAAAAAATGCAGAAAGAACGTGAAAGTTTACGGAAATAACGGTTTCGTTATTTTCAATTTTGTATCATTGTTGTAATTCAATTGGAAATACTTGTGAAGTCTTAAACTAATTGTCCTGGTAATTGCCCGGTGAGTATATCTACCTTTCCGTTATCCTTTCTCGTATCATCCCTATGTTATCCCATCGCCGTTTCCTCACCTTCACCACGCGCTTCCGATATCGCTCCCTACCCCCCCCTCCCAAAGTAACGTCTAAACGGTTGAATTCGGAACAATAACTATACAATTGCAATTGATGCGATGAATTATTGAACAGAAAAAAAAAAAAAAAATAACAAAATAACAAAAACGACAACGTACCGAAAACCTTTTGGGCCCTTCGCAAAGGGTGCAGGGGAGCTCCGGACGGCGACAACGACCACCTTGAGTATCACCACACGACACACGCGAACGCTACATAAACATAACGAAAACCGAATAAATACAATAAATACTACGACGACGTGGGGGTAATGTTGTTTTGTTTTTTTTTTCTTCTTCTTCTTCTTCTTCGTCTTCTTCGCGTTATTCTACTCACCGAGATATTTGCAGCAAATCCGTTAAGCTCCGGTTACAGCGGCCGACTGAGTGCGAATCCCCGGATCGATTACCAACTTACTGCGAAAAAAACATAAAATATAAATAAAAACACATAAATATGATTGGCGAATAGAAAATATATACATAGGCGTATACGTTCTATATTGAATTGTACCGATAGGTGGCACTTACTCGGAATTCGAGAGACGGAACGGAAATAGTACGCCGAACGTTACACGAGTATCGAGCAGGCGGGATATTATTATTACGTGCAAGTTTCGCGTTTCGCAACAGCGAGACGTACCGATGGGAACGGTCACGTAGTACGGCTAAATACGTATATCGGCCGGTCGGAGAACGATAATATTATTGTCCGACGGGGAAAGAGACCCGGGAAAAAACGACAAAGGAACAAAGCGACGGGCGACGGGCAGTGATGGCTGTCGAGTGCGCGGGCAACGAACAACACAGCTGACTGCCGACGGGCTGATCGGGAACTACAGGTGTGCTGGAACGTCGACGCGTATACGGCCAGCCCGTATCGATGACGACCGTCGCCAGGCGACGAGGGGCGCTCGCGCACGCGCGTAATACATTCGGTGCTGCCGTCCCCACCGCCACGTCCGCCGTCCCAACCGCTACGTCCGCCGTCCCAACCGCTACGTCAGCCGTCCCCACCGCTACGGCTGCCGTAACCACCGCGACGGCTGCACGGGTCGGCTGCATTATTCCGAGTGTGGCGAGGGCAGCTGTTGAATATACCGAGAGGTTTATTTTTTTCTTTCTTTCTCTCTTTATACTAGTCTGTGGACACGTTTTTTCCTAGTATACTTGTTCCGATTTGTACGTGTAGCACTTTTTCTGAAAGCTTAAATTGTCCAGACTGTACTGTAAACAAGTCGTTATTTTGATTTTCGACGCAGTTTTCAAATAAAAGCACTTAAATGGGGGGGGGGGGGGGAGGAAACGTAAGAAAACGTACTATTTCACGATTTCATTATTTAATATTATTTAATTAAAACACGGACGACGCTTTCTACCAGAAAAAATTATTCAATCGAAAAATCACAAGAAACGATTTGTGTTGCCTTTTTGATTTTCAGTTGCCTTTTGAGCTTTTAAGGAATTTTAATTTATGGTAGTTTTTTATGTAACCGTAATTCGGTTATGAATACACGTAGAGACTTGAAACTTGGTAATAATACAGAGGTGGCCATAAGTCGCGCAACAAATTTGCAACATAATTTGTAATAGTAAACAAAAATCGTTTATTTCTTCAAATAAATAAAAATGAACATTACAATGTAACATCATCTCACGGCAATTATAATAAATGTTCAAAATGATGTCCTTCAGTCACAATAACTGCTTCACAACGTTTTTTTTACGTTTTTTTTTATGTTAGTGGCGTTGTAAAGATACGAAAAATCGGTGCTCAAAATTTGGAATTCTTCCTCGATTCGCTTTTTTAAATGGATCAAATTTTGGATTGGCGTCTTGTAAACTCGATCTTTGATAACTCCCCACATGCTGAAATCACAAGGTGTGAGATCGGGTGATCTTGGGGGCCATTCCGTCGTCCCACGGGGATTTCGGCAGTGTTACGAACGATAACGAACATGAAACTGCGTCCAACAGGTTATGTTGTTTTTTTATAAACTTTGCTGTTGTTGTACGTAAACAAGATAACGAAACCAAAGTTGCAATATGACGTAACGTAAACGACGTGGAGGGAGAAACTGCGCCGTAACGCGCGTTCCATACAAGACGGTAGGCGTTGCGCGACTTTTGGCCACCTCTGTATACATATTGAACTTACCTAGACGTGGTAAAATTTCCGAAATCATCGGACTTTTTTTTTTCTCTTTAAATAAGCGTTTTGAAATCGAATTTAAACGAAAATCGCAAAAGAAAAAATTACGGCACTTCATATTACGTGTTATCGAACTACTAAAAAATAATTGGTATAGTTTTTGGTACTATAAAAAATGATTTATTCTTAAATATAATAAAAGTTCAGTCTAATTATTGTATTACCCACTTCCCTTCTGATGTTTGAAGAGGATTCGAAG